GTATGAAAATGCAAGAACAATGAAGTCTGAGTCATTTTGAGACAACTGATGGACATTTTCCAAACTAAGCATTCACTTCATGATTGTTAGATTTTATTAACAAGTCCTGTAGTTTCGTATTCAATACATTAGATTGTTCCCACCCGTGTTCTGCTCACTGCAAGACAATTTGTGGAGATTTAAGCCATACCATCATTAAGAACCTAGAAGCACTAGATAGCCATCAAACATTAACACTCTTGAATATCGACTTAATAGTCTAGAGATTAAGTGTTCTCTTATATGATCAAAATTTCCAAGTTCGAGTCTTGTACACAGAATCATTCATATACAGTGTTGAGAAATTTCATACTAGAATGAAATGATCATCTAATGCTTTGAAATATTTAAGAATGGTCTAATATAAATTAATTTTGTGCATTCAACTCTTTATCTTTTGCCTAGTAACTAAATATTCATTAAATTTTTGTATAATCTCTAATGTTAAGGATACAATTTCAAGCAAAAAAATCTATTTTTAAAAAAAACGTGAATTTTTTTCCCGTAATTCTACTTCATTTCATCTCAGAAATCAATAAATCAATTTTATATTTTAACGAATTTTATTTCTTTTTTTTCTTCTTTTTCTTCAAATTATTCAACAAGATAGAAGTAGGTTTATTTTTTTCATTATTAAGAATATTTTTATTACTTAAGCCTGTTAGCAACAATGGAGAACAGGTTATAGACTAGCCTACTACAACCTACTCTGTACTCGGCCTTCCTTTGCAGTTCTATTCAATTTTTGTTCATCCTTCTCATGTCTGTCGCCATTTCTCGAAGTAATTTCTTCTTTGGTCTTTCTCTTCACCTCCTTTCGCCTTCGTAATTGTAAGTAAGGGCTTAACTTATGATACAGTTGGGTGCTTTCCTCAATTTGTGTCCTATCCACTTCCAGCACATCTCCCTGATTTCTTCCTCCACTACAATCTGGTTTGTTCTCTCCCATATTGGGTTGTTACTGATATTGTTTGACCAATGAATGTGAAGTATTTTGTGTAGACAACTGTTAATAAACACCTTTATCTTCTGAATGATGGCTTTCGTAGTTTTGCAAATTTCCACCTCATTCAGTAGAACTGTCTTGACATTTGCACTGAAGATTCTGACATTGGTTCTGGCTTGTGAACAGTTGTTTTGAGTTCCAGATTTTCTTCAGTTGTAAATATGCTGCTCTTGCTTTGTTGATTAGCGCCTTCACATCTCCATCACATCCACCGTGTTCATCAATGATGCTGCCCAGATATGTAAACGTTTTTATACTAATCAATTATTGTGGTTTACCTAATACTCAATAATAATAATAATAATAATAATAATAATAATAATAAGAAGAAGAAGAAGAAGAAGAAGAAGAACATAAATGACTTGAATTATTTCAACTGGACCCAATGAAATGTTTCAAATAAGGTGAACTATATCTAGTGCCAATTTGCTCAGAATGGTTCTTCACACACACACAATGACATGATATATGTATGTATGTATGTTTTGTGGATACAAGGGATCAAGGTGTTTATGAAATTATTTCTTTAAAGGTAATGGGTAAAGCATTAATGTAATGAGTAGAATAATTAATATATGGAATAAAGAATATTGTTTTCAATCAATTCTCTTCAGGTTCTACAATTCAATATATCCATATTAATAGTCTGATAAATGGTCAGGTTAAGGATAAAGTACATCGTTTAAAGTTATAGCATATAAATTGTAGGATTGTTAAATAAAATAGAATAATGTCAATAGTTGAGATCATGAGACACTATAGAAAAGCTGGAAGCACTTGACGGCCATTTCGTCCAATTGTGGGATTCCTCAGAACAAAATTGTCAATGTTAATATAACTCAGCTTATATGTTCAGTAAAATTGTTAAGATCCATGATCTGAATAAATATGGATCAGATAGGATGAGAGAAATAATAGTGCAATTACAATTCGATCAAATAATTAGTGGAAGATGATTAGTAAGACATAATGAAGTGGGATGAGTACGAAGTGAATGAATCATGTATTGGGAGGATTAATAATGATGTTTAACCATCAGTAATAATACTAATAACATTACAAAGATTTGTGAATAAGGATAACAGAGACAACCACACTTGACTACGAAAGGTCGTAAGTACAATGGTCAAATTAAGTCATTCAATCGCTAGGATTACTATTGATTAATTGGCCTTGAAGTTGGTCAGAAGAGTAGAAGTGTTTGAAGATATTTCTTCTGTACGCATACCTCCGGTTTCTTCATTCGGATAGTTACTGCTTCAGCCGTTTGAAGGACTTTAAGTTTGACAAGATTTGACAAAAACTTGTTGACCCTATAAATAATTGAAAAGGATTGGTTTATACTGGCACTATGACCGGTTTGTACTAAATGGGCCAATATTGAGCTGTTCACCTTCTTCACCAAACTTTTGCTTAGCCACGCTTATTAATTTTCCATAAAATATTTGATCGAATTGTAATTGCACTATTATTTCTCTCATCCTATCTGATCCATATTTACTCAGATCATGAATCTTAACAATTTCACTTCACATATATACAGATTCAAGTGAACATTCCATTTAAGTCATATCAACATGAACAATTTTATTCTGAAGAGTCCTAAAATAGGACAAAACGGCCATTTAGTGCTTCCATGCTTTCAATGGTAGTCTAACTTCAACTATTGACATTATTCTATTTTGTTTAACAATCCTACAGTTCACATGCTTAAACTTAAAACGATGCGCTTTGCTTTAAACTTGACCAATTTTCGAATCATTAAATTCGATATATTGAATTGTAGAACTTGAAGAGAATTAATCGAAAAGAATAATCTCCACTTATAGATTAATCTTTTGAAGATAATAGAGGATCTTGAAACGAATAAACTAATTACTTTCCTTAATACTAAAAGCAATCTGAAGTATTAGAGAATATTTTCAGTTCAGGATGATGATGTTGGAGATGTTGTATTCTCTGAGAGTGTAACATCCCCCCCGTCAACGTAACTTCTGAATACTGGTAATCAAAATATGTATAATCTGTTAAGAATACACTTAAAAGTAAAAAAAGGCTTTAGTGACCCAGGATCTGATTCCAATTAGATCATATATTGATCACTATTGCATGATTGCTATCGTAATATACAATATCGTTAATCCTCTACTTCACTCAGGTTGGTGAATGACAGAATTAAATAAGACAAATACGAGAATGGATTTTTCAATACATATATTTTGTCTTCTCATTGATCTGGACAGAAAATGAAAAGGATAAAGCGAATAGAAGAGAGAGAAGCGAAACGCTACACAATGGGGAAGGTGTGATAACTAACCCACTCCATTTAACCAAGCGTTAATCAATACTCATAGTCATACAAAATAAGTTACAGACATGCGATGAATAGGATACAATGTATACACATATATACGCTCATATAAAAAGTCAGTGAATAATTAATAAGGTCAAAACATGACTCAAGAAGAATGGATAAATTGGCCTGTCCAGAAACTGGAATAAGTCATATGGGGTTAACATAGCAACCAACATTACAAGCTATACACTATAATAAAACGACAATTTACGATCGTTCATAGTATCACAAACATTATATCTACATTGTTATAAAGATTTAACTAAACGAAGTTCCCCTCAAGATATTTTTTTTAAAAATATTTTCACAAGAAAGTGGGCAATTTGACTGTTCTAACCGTAATAATACTCTGGTTAATGTTTTTGTTTTACCAAAGTTGTTTTATACAGGATGAGGTTGTTGACTCCATGGCCCACCCTCCTCCTGTGTATGGACTTGTGAGCAGCAGTAACACTAGTAGAGCTACAGGCTGAGTTAATAATACTCTAACTTTGAGAAATGAGCACTATATCAATCAAACAAGCAAATTTCATGAGGTTGAAAGGATTTAAATTTCTCATCTTCACTCACCCTTCCATTGAAAACTCAGATGAATGTAACACATCAATTTACATTTTGTTTCAATTTTTTGATGAAGCATAAACTTTCAGTTCTAAATATTGATGATCTAGGTTACAGAAAATGTTCTGTTGTTCACCATTTTAAGCTATTGTGGCAAGACTATACATTATGGACGAACTAATTACGTATAAGATAACAGGTCTCGAATTTTGCCGCGAAATTCACTCATCCATTTGGATAAATAGAGTTTTAGCATTATAGGTGAAGTCAGTTCATGATGAAAACCCGAAATCTAATTCCTAAGCTTAATCATCAACTGTCAATCATAGTTCTAATTCCTTACACAGGTTTATAACCCTCATTTGGTCTTGGTTATTAAGTGGACACTCTCAAAGTTAGTCTAGCGTCGCTCAAAGGTCGTTCATAAATTATAGTCTCACCGCTATTGTTTCAAAAAAGGGCTATTTGAAACACCTTTGAATTTTTGGATGGTATAGGCATTCTGTTCTTATTCCTAACTAGTTTATTTTCATAGAATAAATGGTTTGATCTTCACTCGGTATTATTTGGCTTGTATCTTCCCATTGAGGCTTAAGACTGCAATTGATCAGTCTGTTATCGGCATATGTGCATACTGTGCATATGCCTCGATATTGCCTTAATTCACAAGCTTTTTGTAAACAATGATGGATAGTGACAAGCAGTGATTTCCAGGACGCGCATTTCGTCCTATTTAGGACTCGTCAGTTGGATATACCTGCATCTCAGAGTTGATGTTCACTCTGGTGAATTTAAATTTACCCCATTGCACAAGCAACTGGCTATCAGGACTCAGTAACTATGTGAATAACGCGATGGCGTTTTAACCGAATGGTACTGGGTTCGAGTCCCAGAGTGAACGTCGACTCTGAGATGCCGGTACATCCAGTTGACGAGTCCCAAATAGGACAAAACGCGCGCCCTGGATTCCACTGCTAGCCATTAGCATTGCTTACAAATGATTTTATCATTTGAATTGACTTCTTCTTTTCTTTGCAGGAGATCAGCATTCATAATTTCATCAAATAGTGAATGAGAAATTACAATCAATATTAATTACTTACATTGATAAATTTCAAATATTAATGGATTCTGAAAATCGTGTCATTTTAAATGTTGGCGGTATAAGACATGAAACATACAAAGCCACATTGAAGAAGATACCTGCTACAAGATTATCAAAATTAACTGAAGCAGTAGCAAATTATGATCCCATATTAAATGAGTACTTTTTTGATCGTCATCCAGGTGTTTTCAATCAAATATTGAATTATTATCGTACCGGTAAATTACATTATCCTACAGATGTATGCGGACCATTATTTGAAGAAGAACTTGAATTTTGGGGTCTTGATGCTAATCAAGTAAGTAAATTTGATTTTGAATGTTAAAGAAGATATCAGTATAAAATTTAAATGTTTTTTTTATTACTTAACCATCAGAAACCTGAAAGTAATAGGATGCCGTTTCATTCTAATATAAGAGTCGAATTCATTACCTTTGATCTCTTAGGAAACGCTTAATCTGTAGGTTGTATCCAATGATGTTAATGTCCAACTTCAATCAATCCATGAGACTGCACGAATAACTTCCATTGTCTTCAGTGGGTATAACTGAATAGTGAGACTAGTATAACATTAAACAAAAATATATATAAGAAATCACTGTTATCAGTGACTAAACATTGAGGATCTTTGACGGTCATTTTAAAGGATCGGAAACAAAACAAAAAAGAATTACTAAACTTTTATTCAGAGTTTTTATAATCAAAAAGTGGCTTCTATTACATAATGATCAGTTCAAAATATGGAATCACTGTATAATGATTTCTTATCCATTTCGAATTAATTGTCACTATCTATCGACGATTGAATATTCAGTATTATCTACAAAACCATCAGATTCAATGTGTGTCCTATCCTCGTCCAACGCTTCTACCTGATATCTTCCTCCACTGAAATCTGCTATGTTCTCTCCCATAGTAGGTTGTTGCTGAGAGTGTCCAGCTAACGGATCCGAATTATTTTGTGTAGACGACTGTTAATAAACACTTGTATCTTGTGGATGATGGTTGTGGTAGTTCTCCAAGTTTCCACCCCATACAATAGAACTGTCTTGATATTTGTATTGAGAATTCCGACCTCGTTGTTGGTTCTTCTATAATATACTTTACAGTAATGTTTTAACATTATCTAATATCTAGAAAACAATTGAACCTCAAAGTCACCGTCTATATATATATTAGTTTTCTTTAGAAGTCACATTATAAACTATTCATTGTCTATCTTCTATGTAGTCCACTATTTAATCTTTCTATTTCAGTCTTGTAATTATTTATTTATGATTATAATTTCTATATTGTGTGTGTTTATATAATTTCTATGACAATATCTTAAAATATAAATCTACCGATCAATTTATCACATTTTTATGGATGGAGGGGGGCTGAGGGGAGGGGATGAGGGGAGGGGATGACATGTTCTTCAGTTTAGTAACCAATATACCTGTACAGTATTCTAATCTCTCGACTAAATAGATCTCATAAAAATAGATGCATGGATGCACAAACAAATGGACATGCACAAAGACACACACACACATACACCGTTATTCAGAAAAATGACAATTGATGGAAATGTGATGAAACTCAAGTGAAAAAAATTCTTTTTTTAAGTCGAGGGAAACTAAACAATTTATAACAGAAAAATTTAATAGTTGAGATCATGTGTCAGTTGAAGCTAGACCACTATGGAAAACTTGGAAGCACAAGACCGCCGTTTCATCCTACACGATTCCGCCTCGCGAGATTCGAACACAGGACTTATCAGTCTCGCATACGAACGCTTAACCTCTAGACTACTGAGCTGGCATCCAACGGTGTTAATGTGTTAACTTCAACCAATCCACGAAATTGAGCGACACATCCACCATTTTCATCAGTGAGCTGCTATCTCACAACAGACTCTATTGAACTCCCAAATGATTGATCACTGGGTAGCGATCAATGTCATGCGTGTCTAGTCCTTATTAGTGCAGATCGAATGCTATCGATCATGTTAAAATGTGGCCACCAGTCTAGGTGACTCGACATTGTGGGCACTGTGTATTGAGATTAGATGGTGTTTGGAGGTAGTCGACAGGAAACCCTGGACCCGGGTTTCATGCTACTTGGCACTCGTTAGCAAGGTGTACCTGTAATCTTGAGGGAACTGGTGCTGCCTGGCGGATTCGATCTCGTGTCACCCAGCTTTACAGTCAGAGAATTTACAACTGTGCTATCCGAGCCGCGACTGACCTCCTGTAGGACTGAGATGTAATCACAATTGACTGGTCACTGAGTGGCGATCAATGTCATGCGTGTCTAGTCCTTATTAGTGCAGATCGAATCCGTCAGAGAGCACCATTTCCCTCGAGATTACAGGTACACCTTGCTGACGAGTGCCAAGTAGCATGAAACCCGGGTCCAGGGTTTCCTGTCGACTACCTCCAAACACCATCTAATCGGTTGAACTCCATTAGTCTCTACTCCTCACTAGAACTCCAGGAAATACTTCTTGAAGCCAGTCACTAGTGAGCATATGTTGATTAATATCAAAAGGATGAGTCACACAATAGAACGAAACGGCCATCCATTGCTTCCAGCTTTTCCATGGTGGTCTAGCTTCAATTGACTCATGTTGGGATATTCAGGAAAATATCCCAAAAATTATCCTGTTAAGCCTAATGCTATTCTTGGACTTGGAGATTGTATTATTCTCTTATTGGTCAGTACTTATTTCACGTGTCATTTTTCTACTGGCCAATAGTGTACAATGTTATTTTCTGTTTTATGGTACGATGTGGTCTGCTTGACTGGTATATAAACAAAGTATGTTTGAAATATAATGATTCATATATCCGAGGCTGAGACCTGCGTTCTGGACTTAACTGGCTGGGCTAGACAGGGAAGCGGGGCTAATCAGAACCCTAGGTCGTTCTACGTGTTTGCGCGTCTTTGGTCCGATCAATAATTCGCTACCCTCTAATCTGCTGCCCTCACAGTTATAACAACTCATGATCTCAACTATTGAGATTAATACAATATCCAGAAAACTTTAAAACAATAATTGTTGTCGGTTACAAGACTAAGATTTTTTGCTGTTTTTCAACTGGTTAGTATTTTATTAAGGTATAAATTAACTAAGGAATGGTATGAAAAGCTAAAATTTGATAGATAAAGAGATCACATATCTATCGATATTATGCAATAGGGCACACAATTGTTGGAGTGGGGTTATGATCGCCGTATGACAATCTTCCGTGGTCTCATTGTATGTTGGGATATTCATAGGCCAATACCATAGAGTCGGTTGTTATGACCGGTGAGGTGTACTATATCTGACCTATAAATATGTCAGATATGACTTGTATCAAATATACTTGTTGGATGGCAGCTTATTTATAGATTGCTTGAGCCCGTGTTTATCCTGCGATTGAAAAGCAATCCGGTCCCTCCTAGTCGTTTTGCAAGACATCAACTGAGCATAACAGAAGGATCAATCTCAGTTCCTATAAAACTCAACTGCATGCTAATGAGTAGATCATAGTTATCTTGAACTCGGAGCGTTTCTCTATCTCCAATGGGAGATTGGAAGTAGACAAATACCTTGCAAATGTTCATTCGAGCGCTTGCACTTGACTTTAATGGCATCTATTAGAGCCGGTTGTTGTGATACGCAGGATACCAAATGTCCATCGAATGGATACCATCAGCAACAGCATTCTGTGGGAGAGGAGAAACCAGCTTCCAGCTGAAAAGGAAATTAGAAAAAGACGTTGATAGTGGATAGGAGGTACATTACAGAAATCAACAAACTGCATCACAAGGCAAGTGCTAACATGTGATCCTGAAGGAAAGCGGAAAAGTGGAAGACCGAAGAACACAGTAGGTTGGGAATTGGAAGCAGACATCGAAAGGATCAGTGGTAACTGGAAAGGATTGTCCAGGACAGAGTTGAATGGAGAGTGCTGGTGGTCGGCCCATGCCATTCCATGAGGAATGACGGGCATAAGTAAGTTGTGGTACTTGAAACAGAGGTTCCCATGAGCAGTGGTTTAAGAACAACGCACCCATAGGAGATAAACAAGTAAGTGAATAGTGGTTTTAAATAAACGGATCGAGTTGTTCATGGGTTCATTAAAGCTTACAGTTCATGATTTCACTCCTGTTATGTCACGAAACCATCCACTGGGTATACTCCATTTGGTACTGAAGATCCTGAATCTGTATAGGTTAATCTACCTGAAACCTTTTACTTTACACCTTATAACTCGCTAACAGCGTCATTAAACAAAATGTACGATTTAAACTATTGACTAATTATAATATTTTAAATAATAGCGTGATTTTACTTATTCTATATTTACTTCCTTACGCCTATTACCAATAATAGAATATAGGCTGCCGACCAACATTCTACAACTCACTCTGTACTCGGCCTTCCTTCGCAGTTCTATTCAATTTTTGTTCATTCTTCTCATGTCTTTCTCCATTTCTCGAAATAATGTCTTCTTTGGTCTTTCTCTTCTTCTTTCGCCTTCGAGATTATAAGTAAGGCCTCAAATTGTGATTGCTGAGAGTGTCTGACCAATGAATGTGAAGTATTTTGTGTAGACAACTGTTAATAAACACTTGTATCTTGTGGATGATGGTTGTGGTAGTTCTCCAAGTTTCTACCTCATGCAGTAGAACTGTTTTGACATTTGTATTAAGAATTCTGACATTGGTGTTGGTTTGTGGATAGTTGTTTTGAGTTCCATTTATTGTTCAATTGTAGATATGCTGTTCTTGCTTTGTCGATCCATGCCTTCATATCTGCATCAGATGTGCCGTATTCATCAATGATGCTGCCCAGATATGTGAAGATTTTTACATCCTCGAAAGCTTCTCCATCAAGTGCGATTTGATTGATGCATGTTGTGTTGAATTGGAAGTTATTACTTTTCCATTCGTTTATGTTGATACCTATTACTGTTAAGATTGCTGTTACACTAGTCATCTTCTACATTTGTTATTGCGTGTACATTATTTTCAAATCACTAGACAACATATGAGCATAGATTTAAAATCTGTAAACAATTTTCCCATAGGAAGTAAACAATAATTATCCAAATGAGATAAACAATCATAGTCAAGTTAACACAGTAGATCTAATAAACACCGGATAACTTGAATAACATCAACAATATTGACAATAAGTAGTTACTGTTATAAAAACACAATACATAGATATGTAGCTCTCTCTATATATATAGAATTATAATAAATACCAATGATGGTGACTTCTTTATTATTATGATACTATATGATTAGGTGAGATATACA